GCCGGATCGGCTTTCACCATGGACGAAGCGGAGTCCAGCCCGGGGTCGTCACATGTGGTTGCCGCAAGGCCGCCGGCCACTTCTTTGTCGAATCCGCCTGCCGTGCCGTTCTCAAGCCCACCGGCCGTTCCTCATTCTAGGCCACCGGCTGCCGCTCACTCTAGCCCGCCGTGTGTTTCGTTGTGAAAGCGTATGTGGAAAATAATGTGTTTTTTGAACCTTAAACCGCATAAACACATTTCATTACACCAAAAAAACAAACTAATGTTCTTTTTAGCAACATCATATGACCCCTTTAACAGTTAATCCGCGAATCACATGCGTGCCAAACCGTGGGGCCTGGTCCGTACGGATCACGGATCATCTACGATCCGTTGCACCCCTAGTAGCTAAGCTTAGTTGGGCAGACCAAAACCCGCTTTCTTGCTTTCGCATGAAGCGCCAAAAACCATAGTGCACGACAAACATCAGCTGTGGAGTCCGTGCCTAAAAACAGTCACATGAACAAGAGTTGGAAGCGCGAGCGCCAAATCAATGTACGTGCCTTAATTAAAGCAACGTAATTAAAGTGATGACGCCATCGCAGCATTGAAGTGAACCTATGAAAGGGAACTAATGTCCGCAAATCTACTAAGATTTTAGACATTATTCGTTTTCCTCATAAATTACAACAAAGTAAAACTATCCTATATATTTTACAAAATGTTAACTGTAGATAGAAAGCTCTCACGAATGAGATGATTAGAGTTAAATTAGTTAATTCATGAACACATTTACAGACTCGCTCAGTAAAGAGGGCGTGTTCGTTCATTAGGTCCAACCAATGAAATGTTCTTTCCACAGACTGCACTCTAATGCTATTGGTTAGCTACAGTCAGTCATTGAAGTCAGTCTTTGAAATTGAACGAGAACGATTTGTTCAATTAAAGAATTGCTTCTAAAACACGAACTAAACCTCGTATATTGAGGTTTATATCGCAAATAATAAACTTTGTATATTGCGTGAAGTCCACAGGTTTGTCTTATGGTAAATCGTATTTGCATACATATTTGCATATTACGTTCTTCGATCACGTCGTGCCGAATTAACACAGACCACAACGTAGAAGGAGTTTAACAGAAGTGCATGTAAATAATAGCATGGTGGGTAGGAACGATGCGTTGCGTGATCACATATGGCATATTTATTTAGTGTGGATACCAAAGCAACTTTTTTTTGATACTGGGCGTGGATGAGGACCACAGACTGGGGGACTGTCTCGTTAAAACCGTGAAAGGTCTGCAGATGTGCTCTGGAAAAACTTGCCTTTCCATCACTCTACTTCCGCATCAAACATGCGTTTAACACTCAACATGTCCTGCTGAGCACAACAACACTGAAGTAAGTGCTATTTGCATCGGTTTGCATGTTTTCAACATTAACTTTAAAGGAACATCTGCCTGAGACGCAGCAGCAGACTGCAGAGATCATATGGAGGGGAAACTGGACATGGATGATGTTTCTCCATCCCATCATCAGCATCAGCGGGGCTTGTGGAAATCCTTCCACGGCAGACCCAAACTCACCGGCAGCCCCAAACTGGGCAAAAAAGACCGAAAGCAAGAAAGCGGGTTTTGGATATTTAAAAAGAAACGACCAAATGGTTTGGACCGAGCGGTGTCTTCGTCTCAACCCAATCTGCACAGCGCGGCAGCCGCTCCGGATGGTGGTGAGAGCGGGAAGACGCGCCGCGGCTTGCCTGAGCTGGGTGTCGGTACGGCGGCCGTAGCAGCAGCGTCGCTCGGTGCGGAGATCCAGATGCTGAAAAGAACCGTCAGCTCCAAACCGACGCTCTCCCAGGTGTTGCAGTCTCAACATAAACCTGCTCTGCAAGGGTCCACATGCACTGATGATGCTACGATGAATGGTAACGAGGAAGAGATCAATAAAAGTGCGGTAAGATGATTTATAATCTTTCAGACGTTTTTGCCATAGCACTGCAGTAATATGTGGTGGATGCAGTTATCTCATACAGATAGTTTACGCTCTACCTTAACATTTGCAGATGTTTTAGAACGTAAAAAATAGATGCTTTTTGTTTTAAATACAGTGAACTATCCACAACTGGAACAGTTTTTTGATAAATTTGTATAATAACTTAAGCCTATAGGGTTTTGTGATGCCGCAGGTTCCTAAATATAAATGTATTAAAACATATTTAGTGTAATTTCTATTTGATAGTGATAGACTTTTAACTTTTTTAGGTCAAATGAGTCATCAGCAAACGTGAAACTGAATTTAGGTTTATAGAAAATCAGTTTGCTACAAAATATTACAACAAATACATTTTCTTATAAGAAACATTACAGAATTACAGCCCAGTTCCAGCTGGAAAAGCCATGTTATATTAGTTTAAGCTGTTTTTTATAACCAAGTAGCTGATTTGTTATAGGCGAAACTTGATCAAGGTGTACCAAGTCAATCTCAAGCATCCCAGCTTAAAGCGGACCACAAATGAGCAGCATGCTTCAGATAGACACCATATAAACCAGATTAATACACAGTCTGAGATCCGTTAGATCTTGAAGCTTGATCACATCCACCAGGATGATGTTAGAGAAATGGAAAAAATTCCAGAATGACTTTGATTGGGTTTAAAGGGCAATCGACCATCAAGCCCATCTGCCTCATTTTACCTGATGTCCAACTTTTGCCGAGTCCACCCGACCAACTGCTTTGAATACAATCAAATAAGAACAGAATGATTTTGACACTGTAATATTTTTTACATTGCAAGTCTAAATCAGATATCATGTCAGAACTCCTCCAATTATCAGTAGACAGTAATTTTTTTTGGCATGCATGCATGTGAATATCTTTGCCCTTGTACATTCACATTTTAAGCCGTTAATGTATACACACCAAGGTTTACTTGAATCGGGTGTTTTTGTGCATGGTCATTTTTACATTTGTAGATGCAAAGTGATGTGTTTGCATAGTCAAACTCATGTCAGATTCCCATTCACACAAGGACATGTGCCAGAATGAGCTTGTGTCAGCCTTTTTCCACAAGTTTTTCTTTTAAAACTGTAAAGTTTGGTCTTGGCATTGAGTTTTGTCTACAACTGTTAGTTTCAGCCATGTTGGCACTGTACAATTAGTTCTCTCTGTTCCTGGGGGTGTTTGCCAAGCTGGTTTGCAAGAAGAGGAACTTGCCTAAGAGTAAAGACACACAAACACATATAACAGGCTTAAAGCCAAACAGGGTGCCAAGTGTTGAGTAAGGTTGCAGAGGTGAATTGTTGTCTTTATTAGTACATTTTGTATTATTGTTTGTCTATGTGCATCAGATTTTTGAGATCCATGAATACAGATTAAAAGATTTTTGCATACTCGCATATAGATTAAAAAAACAAACAAATGAGATCTTCTGTTGTTGTTTTTCTGGTAGCACCAGTGGTGTGTTTTGCTTAAAGCGATAGTTTACCCAAAAATAAGACTTAACTCAACATCAGGTTGTTACAAACCTGTACAGTATGTCTTTCTTTCTTCTTTATGACACAGAAGAAGATATTTAAAAAATGTATTTTATGAAAGTGAATAGGTGCGTGTTTCAGAATTAAGAGCGGCACTGTGTTCATTTACACGCGTGCAGCATATAATACAGTGTTTTCAGAGCGACTTGGCTCATGGTTAATGCTGCTTCTCATGAACTCCATCTCTGCAAGCACTGAGAGTTTACCGTGCATTTGGGAATGCAATGTGCGCTAGGTTCACTTTATTTTAAAATAAAAACAATAATAAAACACTTGCTAAAAAAGATTTGATTTTTATCTATTTACTTGCATGTCATGTGACCATTAACTGACATTAGAGAACCATGAACTTGCAAATGTGTTGATACATTATTGAAATATTTACTTAAAATCTCATGGGATTAAATTCAAGTAAATATTTTATGTCTAAGGGGTGTGACTGACGAAAAAGTTTGGGAATCCCCGCCTGAGAAAAAAGAAAGTCTGATGTGAAGATGTGTAAATGATGATAGGATTTTAATTTTAAAGCCATTACATCACTGGCTTAACAGCCACCAACAGTGCAGCAGAGATTAGAGTCCAACAAACAACACGATTCCTCTGGATCATACTGGCGCTATCTTTACTCCACTGCATGTGTGGACTTGACAAACAGTTTTGGTATGGACCTGCGTGAGTTGTCTTTGTGGATAGATGAGAAAGGCATTTGGGAAGGTATGAGATTTGATAAACAGCAGCATGCCTTTCTTAAGAAATCTGTGACTCAGGATCTGGCAGTGGAGATGATTAATCTGCTCAGGAGTAACTTTACAACTCAGATCAACTCCTCTACATGTGTCATAGGCGCTGATTTCGGTGAGCATGTTGATTGTGTAAAGTCATGGTATGTGGGAATTGCAGTAATGCTGAGCTACCTACAGGGTTTCCACGGTCATGGAAAAGCTGGAAATTGTAGAGAATAGCCTTGCAAAAGTCAATGAAATGAAGTAAATCTGACAAAATTAAACGTTTACTATTAATTAGAATTAACATAAAAAAAACCAAGGAAAAATCAACTGGAAAAGGTATGAAATCATGAAAAGGGTGGTTTTGCTCTGATACAGTTGTACCGCCACGTTAAGGTCCTAATGAGACTGTGGGTTGAGTATCGTAGCTACAACTTTTCTAGAAGCAGGTCATGTTCAGTGACGTCGGTGTCTGACTGCTCAGGGCTTAAATGCTACTTATCAGACCAGACACGCATGAAAACAACATTAAACAGATCACATGTTTCCTGTCTTACAACTTCACACCTAATACAAGTGAATTTGCACACATCCCTTGAGGCCCCTATAATGGACCCCAGAATTTCTGTTTATAGGCTGCTTTTCTTGCAAACAGGAAGTGGCTCTATAACTTTAACCACCATACTGTCAACCGCTACGTCTTCCTGTTGAACCCTTTGGCAAGTTAACAAAAATACTGTCTCTTGCTAAAGTTCAATCATCATGACTACAGATGTTTCTAGTATTGGTTGCTGTCATGCTCACACCGTTTCTACTTTATGGAGCAGGAGGGAGCTTATAACGAGACTTTGATTTATAGGCACAATCAACATGAGCTAGCTACTTGTACAAACCTCACTAAAGATTTTCAGTGCAGTGGTTGACTTGTTTCATTGGCTGGCACCGTTCCCCATGTCAGTGTCTTTCACCTTGGGAGACTTGATGTAATCACCTCACAGCGGAGGTGAGACGACGGGTGTCTTTGCTTACAGAGATGCTCTGAACAGTACAGAGAAAGGTGAATTCATCTTAGACAGGTCTTATAGGGGAGCGTGGAACGAGGGCTGGATGATTAATTGAAATCAAAATGCAATCTTAACGTGCAGTGCGATTATCAAATCGCAAAGGCTGTGATATAATTAAATAACTATGTGCGCTGCATGTTTCAGAGTTGAGCCTGGCACTGTGTTCATCTTCTCGCAAGCAGCTCATGAACCAGTGTTTTTAGGGTCTCAGAGCGGCTCGGTTCGCAGTTAATGCTTCTTCACACAAACTCCATCTCTGCACCTGCTCTGAGTTTTATCAACAAAACAGAAGCTCTAAGGCTCCCTGTGGCATTCTGTCAAAAAGTTTGTTTGATGGGTTAACGTTTGAAAATGAAGAAAATAAGGCAGCCATAAAATTAGTAATTAGAAGTTGTAGTGTAATTTTTTAATATTAATTATTATTATTATTATATTTTATTAAATAATTGATTTTGTTATTTTACAGTAAAATTACCATAGTAATATTTTGTGTTTTGTTTATATTTAGTAATAATAATAATAATAATAAATTATCATAATAAACCATCTTAATTATCATAAAATAATAAATATAATTTTATAATCAAAGTTATATATTTTACAGTTGTACTGTAAAATTAAATTATTATTATTAATTATATTTTTCTTATATACTTGATTTTATTTTACAATTAAATTACAATAGTAATATTTTTTTAGTAATAACAATAATAATAAATCATAACAAAAATAGTAATAATCAAATTGATATATAATCTTTTAGCCAAATATTTGAGTTTTTTAAAATCACATTTTAAGTCACAATCACATTTTTTTTTTATTTCTTTACAAAAATAGTACATTTTTTACCCCGTCAAATTGTGCAGCTCTAGGTGGAACCATTATAAACTGGACATTCAGGTGTGAGTTTGAGGCGGGACTGACCAATTATCAGACAAGGAGATGAAACCTGTCATTCATTATATTTGGAAGTCTGTTTGTTCAGAAATGATGGAGGAAGATAAATATTGCATCTCTAAATGTAAATCAGCTATAAGAACTTTTTTATCTCAAACATGACACCAGGATGTTGTTAGAGGAATCCCTGGTCTAATAACAATATCCTATATCCTTCTTCTTGCCAATCCTGTCATAACAGGATGTTAAATAGGCCCTAAAGGTCCACAATGCAAATCACCTGCTTATAGCTGACACTGCAAACACACTTAGTGTGTGAGAGAAATGTGTTTCTGACCTCATCTCTCACTCAAGGGTGAAAAAGAGGAAGTAGAATGTGTGTAGTGCTCATCAAATATTGTCTGTGTGTTACATAGTGGTGCTGTGTTTTCCGAAGCCCCAAAATATTCAACTTTGTCACGTAACTCGTTCTGCACCATTGGTGCTACAGATATGAATCAAATCAAGAGGCTTGTTGAGGAGAGAGGTTTGCTAATATTATCAGACCTGTGATCAGACCAGCTGTTTTTACTTGATGACTTATTAAAGAATCGATCTGAGCCCATATCTACACCAGAATATCACAGAACATAATTTAACCTGGGCCAGTAAACAACTTCCCTAGTGACACCTTAGCAACCACATACTGTAGAACACACCTTAGCAACCACATAGAACACATCCAGGACACCCTAGCAACACTTTAGCAACCTCATACTGTAGACCACACCCTAGCAACACCTTAGCAACCACATAGAACACACCTAGGACACCCTAGCAACACTTTAGCAAGCACATACTGTAGAACACACACTAGCAACACCTTAGCATCTACATAGAACCCACCCAGGACGGCCTAGCAACACATTAGCAACCACATACTGTAGAACACACCCTAGTAACACCTTAACAACCACATAGAACACACAGGACACCCTAGCAACACATTAGCAACCACATACTGTAGAACACACACTAGTAACACCGTAGCAACCACATAGAACACACCTCGAACACCCTAGCAACACATTAGCATTTTCACTGAGAAATTGCTAATATTTTTACATATAATTGTAAATCAGTAACAAGTCATATGAAATTAAACATGACATTTTGAAATAGAAAGAGTGCAATAGTATTTTTCAATAATCTTTCTGTTTTACTTACAACTTCCAAAAATCATTTTACACTGTAGTACCCTTAGATATAGGGGGGAAAACTGTTTTCCATGATATACCTTCTTTAAATGACTTGCAGCATGTGTTCAAGTTGGTGGCTTAAATAGGCGCAATGATGGTAGTTTATGAATACACAACTTTTCAGACTAAACCATTAACCACTAGGCCACACCACTGGAAAAACCACATGACTTTTTCTGGACTCTAACAGGTGGTTTTTAAGCACCGTCAGATGTGTGAAGTTGACATCACACGCACAGTGTTTCACTTCCTATGCAAAAATTAGACATTGACAACAGATAGCTAGTTTAGCCTCCTGTGACTCTCGCTTTTTAGTTTATTTGCGGCTTATTCTGTTCAGACTGGATGAGATCATCTGACTGACATGTGACCAACCACAAATGATAAGACAAAGTAATTAAGCGGTATGCAACAAAGTAGAAGCTTATTTCACTACTGAACATCTCCACAAAAGGGTACAAGGAAGAACTTGGTAGAAAATGAGTGCTGACTTTGTGAAAGTATAAAAACAAAGTGGAATCACATTATTCTGATTAACTGTGATTGCTTCATATTGTGCCTTGTGCAATTTTGCTTTTAGTGTGGACAGATAAATTACTTGTTGCAGGACACTTGTCATGTCGTAACATGATGCAACACTGCTATAATATTTCTATATAACAGCCAAAAACATGACTGAAACAAGCAAATATGTTGTAATGAGTCCAGTTAAATGAATGCAGAGAGCAAATGGCCATTCTAATAAAACTATTAGAACAGAATAATACTTGGTGTGTATAACAAGAGATCAGTGGTATGTTCTTAATTCTGGTTTTAGAGCACCAGTTTATCAGTTTTAAGCATTTTGCAACATCATGTCAAAATTTCAATCATAAATTCCCAAGGAGTTTGTTTTCTCATATGAGCACTTTTGAGTTAGTAAAACCCTATAAGGTTTGTCATTAATGGCTTTGGGTGTATGAAATGTTTGAGGAGGTCCTGTCAATCAGTCACACTAAAGTATTTGGGACAATGTCTGTTTTATTCAGGGCATTAATGCAGCTGGTAATGGTGGAACACAGCCTTCACTGCCCACTTCAGCAATGTACCAGTTAGACATCGTGCTGAAAAAAGGAAACAACCTTGCCATTCGAGACAGAGGCGGTAAGACCTGCATCTCTGATGCTCATGTTGTCTCCATTAATACCACTGTCAGGAAATGTGTGTTTTACTTTTAATAAGATGTATCTATATGCTACTTAAAACTTATGTTCCTGCTATGATTTGCTGAAATGTGTAATCAATTTTTTTTAGATCAAACTGCCCAGAATATAATTTAACCTGGGCCAGTAAACAACTTCCCTAGTGACACCTTAGCAACCACATACTGTAGACCACACCCTAGCAACACCTTATCAACCACATAGAACACACCCTAGCAACACTTTAGCAACCTCATACTGTAGAACACACCCTAGTAACACCTTAGCAACCACATAGAACACACAGGACACCCTAGCATTACTTTAGCAACCTCATACTGTAGAACACACACTAGTAACACCTTAGCAACCACATAGAACACACCCAGGACACCCTAGCAACACTTTAGCAACCTCATACTGTAGAACACACCCTAGCAACACCTTATCAACCACATAGAACACACCCAGGACACCCTAGCAACACTTTAGCAACCTCATACTGTAGAACACACCCTAGTAACACCTTAGCAACCACATAGAACACACAGGACACCCTAGCATTACTTTAGCAACCTCATACTGTAGAACACACCCTAGTAACACCTTAGCAACCACATAGAACACACAGGACACCCTAGCATTACTTTAGCAACCTCATACTGTAGAACACACCCTAGTAACACCTTAGCAACCACATAGAACACACAGGACACCCTAGCATTACTTTAGCAACCTCATACTGTAGAACACACCCTAGTAACACCTTAGCAACCACATAGAACACACAGGACACCCTAGCATTACTTTAGCAACCTCATACTGTAGAACACACCCTAGTAACACCTTAGCAACCACATAGAACACACAGGACACCCTAGCATTACTTTAGCAACCTCATACTGTAGAACACACCCTAGTAACACCTTAGCAACCACATAGAACACACAGGACACCCTAGCATTACTTTAGCAACCTCATACTGTAGAACACACCCTAGTAACACCTTAGCAACCACATAGAACACACAGGACACCCTAGCATTACTTTAGCAACCTCATACTGTAGAACACACCCTAGTAACACCTTAGCAACCACATAGAACACACAGGACACCCTAGCATTACTTTAGCAACCTCATACTGTAGAACACACCCTAGTAACACCTTAGCAACCACATAGAACACACAGGACACCCTAGCATTACTTTAGCAACCTCATACTGTAGAACACACCCTAGTAACACCTTAGCAACCACATAGAACACACAGGACACCCTAGCATTACTTTAGCAACCTCATACTGTAGAACACACCCTAGTAACACCTTAGCAACCACATAGAACACACAGGACACCCTAGCATTACTTTAGCAACCTCATACTGTAGAACACACCCTAGTAACACCTTAGCAACCACATAGAACACACAGGACACCCTAGCATTACTTTAGCAACCTCATACTGTAGAACACACCCTAGTAACACCTTAGCAACCACATAGAACACACAGGACACCCTAGCATTACTTTAGCAACCTCATACTGTAGAACACACCCTAGTAACACCTTAGCAACCACATAGAACACACAGGACACCCTAGCATTACTTTAGCAACCTCATACTGTAGAACACACCCTAGTAACACCTTAGCAACCACATAGAACACACAGGACACCCTAGCATTACTTTAGCAACCTCATACTGTAGAACACACCCTAGTAACACCTTAGCAACCACATAGAACACACAGGACACCCTAGCATTACTTTAGCAACCTCATACTGTAGAACACACCCTAGTAACACCTTAGCAACCACATAGAACACACAGGACACCCTAGCATTACTTTAGCAACCTCATACTGTAGAACACACCCTAGTAACACCTTAGCAACCACATAGAACACACAGGACACCCTAGCATTACTTTAGCAACCTCATACTGTAGAACACACCCTAGTAACACCTTAGCAACCACATAGAACACACAGGACACCCTAGCATTACTTTAGCAACCTCATACTGTAGAACACACCCTAGTAACACCTTAGCAACCACATAGAACACACAGGACACCCTAGCATTACTTTAGCAACCTCATACTGTAGAACACACCCTAGTAACACCTTAGCAACCACATAGAACACACAGGACACCCTAGCATTACTTTAGCAACCTCATACTGTAGAACACACCCTAGTAACACCTTAGCAACCACATAGAACACACAGGACACCCTAGCATTACTTTAGCAACCTCATACTGTAGAACACACCCTAGTAACACCTTAGCAACCACATAGAACACACAGGACACCCTAGCATTACTTTAGCAACCTCATACTGTAGAACACACCCTAGTAACACCTTAGCAACCACATAGAACACACAGGACACCCTAGCATTACTTTAGCAACCTCATACTGTAGAACACACACTAGTAACACCTTAGCAACCACATAGAACACACCCAGGACACCCTAGCAACACTTTAGCAACCACATACTGTAGAACACACACTAGCAACACGTTAGCATCTACATAGAACCCACCCAGGACACCCTAGCAACACATTAGCAACCACATACTGTAGAACACACCCTAGTAACACCTTAGCAACCACATAGAACACACAGGACACCCTAGCATTACTTTAGCAACCTCATACTGTAGAACACACAATAGTAAAACCTTAGCAACCACATGGAACACACCCCGAACACCCTAGCAACACATTAGCATTTTCACTGAGAAATTTGCTGAAATGTGTAATCAATTTCTTTTTTAGATCAAAATGCTCTTATGTTTCAGGAACAAGTGACCCATATGTGAAGTTCAAAATAGCCGGCAAAGAAGTTTTCCGTAGTAAAATCATCCACAAGAACCTTAACCCAGTTTGGGACGAGCGTGTTTGTCTGATAGTGGACAATTTACAAGAGCCTCTGTATATTAAGGTAAAATTACCGCTTTTATTCACAGTGTTTATGGATGCTTGTTACCATTATAGTATATAGTATGAATCCTGAATGAATTACTCTTATGAGTCAGTTTGTTCTAGTGAATCAGAATCATATAGCTTGACCGGTGTATTCTGAAACCCAAATGAATTATTCTAATGAGGCAATTCATTTTGGTGAATCAAAAACTTACTGCACGACTGGTGTAGTCTGGTTTCTGAATAAATGGCTCTTATGAGTCGATTCATTTTAGTGAATCAAATCATATTTTTGACCAGTGAATTCCAAAACCCAAAGTAATGACTCTTATGAGGCGAATCATTTTAGTGAATCTGCGTGACCAGTGCGGTCCGAATCCCAAATGAATTACTCTTATGAGCCGGTTCTTTTTAGAGAATCAAAAACATTACAGCGCAAACAATATACACTGATTCCAATGCAAATGACTCTTAAAAGATGATTCATTTTAGTGAATCAGAAACATACTGCATGACTGCTGTAGTCCAATTCCTGAACAAACAGCTCTTATGAACCAGTGATTTTTATTGAATCAAAAATATTACAGCACGAACAATGAAGACCGATTCCAAAACAAATGACTCTAATGAGCCGGATCTTTTTAGTGAATCAAAAGCATACTATGCGACTGGTATATGCCAATTCTGGACAAATGACTCTTATGAGCCGGTTCTTTTTAGCAAATCCAAAACATTACAGTATGAAAAATTTTGACCGATTTCAAAATGAATGACTCATGAGCCGGTTTGTTTTAGTGAATCAAAAACATAATGTGGGACCGATGTATTCTGATGCCTGAATGAATGAATTCATTAGTGAAACAAAAGCATTACAGACTGAACAATGTAGACTGATTCCAGTACAACAGACTCTTATGAGCTGGTTCTTTTTATTGAATCAGCAAGAGTAATCAATAAGTCATTAAGAAGTCTAGAATGATCTCTGATATTTCTTCCTAAAGAATTTTCCCTTTTGCAATCTATTTTAGGTGTTTGACTATGATTTTGGCCTTCAAGATGATTTTATGGGCTCAGCTTACCTGTACCTTGATTCTCTGGAACTGCAGAGGTATCGTGTTTTCATCATTACTACAAAGATATAACAATTCAACAGTTAGTGTCAAAATACATTTTCAATCAGCATAAAAGGGTGTTTAAATGTATTAGGTGTTTCATGAAATTAACATTGACAAGGGCAGTTTTGCTAATGTTTTGTTGTGATCTTAGAGTTTATACTGACACCTAGTGCCTTGGATGAAGCATTATACAAAAGTTTTCGGTTACCAATAAAAGTATTATATTGACAAGTGGTCATTATCATTTTAGGTAGATCTAATAATTAAGTTTAAACATATTTATCAAAAAGATTATTCACTTCTTTAAGTGATAAACTACAACACTACTTTTAATGGTGGTCATAACAGCTCATGTTTTTGTTGTAGGCCTGTTGATGTTCGGTTAGACCTTCAAGATCCTCACTGCCCTGATCAGGACCTGGGGTCTCTGGAGCTGGCGGTCACTCTGTTCCAAAGAAGTACAGAGGACAGAGAGGCCCTCCGACAGGCTGTAAGACTAATTTGGCAGATTTATGTTGTTTTATACTGGTAGAAGTTGGAAAAGATTCAATTTGCTGGCAAATTCTCAGCATGCATCCAAAAAGATTTCATTCTGACATGTTTACAGACCTCAAATTTGTTTCACACCTTTCTCATGAGACTGTATAAACTATTTTTAGCTCTCAGGAAGTGTTTAGCAACCACATCCAGTCATCTTGTTTTTGAAAAGCATGTGAATCATGCAACTGAAGTTGATATCTGTTTCAAAGGTTTGGGGTTATGATGTTTTTTTTAAAGAAAATAAAACTTTTATTCAACAAGGATGCATTCAATTGATCAAAAGTGATAGTAAAGACATTTATAATGTCCCAAACTATTTCTATTTCAAATAAATGCGGTTCTTTTGAACTTTCTATTCATCAAAGAATCCTGAAAAAAGTATCACAGTTTCCACCAAAATATAAAGCAGCACACCTGTTTTCAAAATTAATCCGAAATTAATAATAATAATAAATATTTAATCAACAGCAAATCAGCATATTAGAATGATTTCTGAAGGATCATGTGACACTGAAGACTGGAGTAATGATGCTGAAAATTCAACTTTGCATCACAGGAATAAATTACATTTTAAAATACATTCAAATAGAAAACAGCTATTTAAAATTGCAATAATATTCACAATATTACTGTTTTTACTGTATTTTAACAAATAAATGCAGCCTTGGTGAGCAAAAGAGAATTATTTTAAAAAGATTATAAAATCTTACCAACCCCAAATTTCTGAATGGTAGTGTATATACTGCCTAGCCTACTATTTTTTTTAAAACAGTATGCATTATGCATAATGTGCATTTCAAATAGTACTATTCTACACTGTGGTCACGTGAGCTACTATGTTGCATTTAATTTGGTTTGTGAAGTCCAGTTATGCAGTAAAAATGGTTATTATTTTGAATCCATTTTGTGTAAAAAAAAAAAAAACCCACGGATGATTAAGTCAAGCACATTGCATTGTGGGATACTGTGCCCAGCACAACACGCTCAGTTGGCTTACAGACAAATTGCATACTGTGCAAAAATAGTATAAGTGTTATGTTCGGCTAGTCCAAAAAGCCCATGACTCTTGAGAGACACTGGGATGATGGGACATTTGTGCTGTCTGCATAATGCATGAAATGACTTTGAATTAGACATTAGAAACCTGCTGCAGTGTGCAGGCGGGCGGAGAACACATCGAAATTCACATGGTGTTCCACCAACAGATGAAACAGCAGTCTGATGGGCGGCTTTGATCGCGTAAGAACAGAAGATGTGTCTCTTGATCAGATTTAGAGATTTAGCTTCTCATCCAATACAAAAGTAGTCTTGGCGGTAATCAAAGCGCACCCACCTCCATCCCGGCCCCCTGAATATACAGTAACGCATATAACCTGCTGTGTTGTTTTTGTAGACCATGCTATTGAGGAGAAGCTGGAAGCAATGCAGTAAGGTAAAAAAGCAAGAGCGTTTGCCCCCAGATTCTCTGACTAGCTGCTGTGTAAATTGTCCCACACACTTTATCGGGTTAATTAGCGATGAACATTTTGCAGGGTGACTTATGCAACATGTTCAAAGAGAAATTGGTTTGTGTGCCAAATGCTCTAAATGTCAGCACTGCAGCAGTCTGGTCAGAGGATGAGTTTTATCGGTACGACTCCATTAGTTGCGGCAGTCATGCATCTCATGGGGGTGATGGGCCATGCCTTTTTGTAGACATTTGCATTTTATGCTTTGGTGATGACCCAGTCATTCATGGTGTATGTGAAACCATTCCACACTCTCTGAGTTCTTTCCCCACTGAGGAATCATTTCATTGTCTTAAAGGGATTCATCCAAAAATCTGTCATCATGTACTGTACACTGCTGTTCAAAAGTTTGGGGTCAGTGAGATTTGCCTCTTATGCTCACCAAGGCTGCATTTATTTGAATTCTGTAAAAACAGTAAAATATTATTACAAGTTTTCTTTTTGAATATATTTTAAAATGTAATTTATTCCTGTGATGCAAAGCTGAATTTCCAGCATCATTACTCCAGTCTTCAGTGTCACATGATTCTTCAGAAATCATTCTATACACTAATTTGCTGCTCAAGAAACATTTCTTATTATTATTAGTGTTGAAAACAGTTTGCTGCTTAATATTTTTTGTAAAAACTGAGATGCATTTCTTTTCAGGATTTTTTGATGAATTGAAAGTTCAAAACAGAATCGATTTGAAATAGAAATGTAACATGTAAATTGTAACATTATAGATGTATTTACTGTAATTTTTGTTAATTTTAATGCATTCTTACTGATTAAAGAGAACTGATTTCATAAAAAAAAAAAAAAAAAAAGACACCAAACTTTAAAACAGTAGTGTACTTGATGCTCAGATTGTCCTTTTTGGAGCTTTGCAGCCACGTTCACCAACCACTTTTGTTGTATAGACAATCTCCTTTTGTGTCCAAAAATCATGTTTTGAGCAACATGAGGGTGAGTAGTCAGTCCTTTTGCATTGAAGTAACCCTTTAATGTCCTGTGACGTGTGTGCGGAGCGCAGCAGCAGCAGAATCTTCGGCTGTCGGACCTGCACAGAAAGTCTCAGCTGGGGAGGGGCATCGTGAGCATCAGACTCATGGAGGGTCGTAACCTCATCCCCATGGACCAGAACGGCCTGAGTGACCCTTACGTCAAGTTCAAACTAGGCCCTCTGAAGTACAAGAGTAAGGTATGAGCGACTGTGGCATTTCAACATGGCAACATGACACTGTGTGATCTCTTTTTAAATATCTCTGGACTTACTGTCCACGATTCAGCCATTATTCCAAAGAAAAAATCTTTTTTCCCCACCTCTGACAGAAATTTCTTTGCTAATGTAACCAAGGAATGGAAAAATAATATTCACCAATAACCCTATATTTTATTTATATTTTAATTCAACATTTTTGTCATAAATGATTAATAATTAAAATAATTAATATATAATTAATTGTATTAATATATAAGATTATTAAATAATAATAATGTGTTTGTCTTTTAATTGAACATTCTTTGTCATCATAAATAATAAATGAAAATTAAACAAAGTAAAAAATTATTATTTGTTTTATATATATTAAATAATATTTTAATTTATTAATACATTTTTCATTCATTTATTTATGTCAACATGTGCATATCATCATTACAACCTTGTCATATTTCAGTATACTTCAGTATATGTTTCAGCAGACAGAATAAGAATACTGTCTGCTAAAACTATTTCTCTGTTACTTATTTTTCTCTTCTGTACAAACAGACAATTCCCAAGACCCTCAACCCTCAGTGGAGGGAGCAGTTCGACTTGCATCTGTATGACGAGGAGGGAGGCATTCTGGAGATCTCCGTTTGGGATAAAGACATTGGAAGAAGAGACGACTTCATCGGCCAGTGCGTACAATATCCTACATATCATTTACATACATATCATGTTATCAGTATGTCTGTTACCTGGAAATCAAACCCATCAATACGCCATTGCTAGATGCTTGATTTACAAGAAGTGCATGTGTTTAACACATGTCAGGTGTCAGCTGGACCTGTCCAAGTTGAGCAGAGAGAAGACACATAAGCTGGAACTTGAGCTGGAGGAGCATAAAGGGATGCTGGTACTGCTGGTGACTCTGACCGCCACAGTCGCGGTCTCCATCTCTGACCTGTCTGTCAACCTACTGGACGACCCACATGAACGCCAGCAGATCATTAAGAGATATGTAAGTGTGACGTCCTCGCAGTCAAACAGGATTTTTTCTTCACAAAAGGGGTCTTTGACACTGACTGTTACTGTACAGCAAGTGTTGCTTTTAACTGCTAATTTGTCTTCCTCTAGAGGGCACTTGACAACTATATCCTCCATTGAGCCGCATTCAAATCTCAGTATGGTTTTTATAGTATTTGGCACTTATAAATAAAAATCTGGCTCAACAATGTCTTGAAATTCATTTCTTATTCAGTTTTGACATCTGTGATTGGCCTATCCCTTCCAGCGCTGAGAAAAACCATGACAACACAATCTGTGTGATGCTTCAGAATGATAATAATTAACATCGAAATCTTGATATTAAGACTTTATTAGCTATTAAATATAAAATGCAGTGCTAATGTTATTTTAAATATAAAATAAAGTGCAGTGCTAATATTTGTGAATATAAGTGATAAGTGATCGAGCACCACTTTCTTTCTTCTTTTTTTTTTTACATTTTTATTTATTTTTGTTTTTGAAAGAAAGTAATGTTTTTATTTGGTTATTATAAGGACACATTAAAGTGGTCAAATGTGACAGTAAAGACTTTTATAATGTTATAAAAGATTTCGATTTCAAATAAATGTTATTCTTTTGAACTTTTAATCATCAAATAATCCTGAAAAAAAAAACAGTTTCCACAAAAATATTAAGCAGCATGGCTGTTTTCAACATTGGTAGTAATAATAAACGTTTCTTAAGCACAAATCAGCATATTAGAATGATTTCTGAAGGATCATGTGACACTGAAGACTGGAGTAATGATGCTGAAAATTCAGCTTTGCATCACAGGAATAAATTACATTTCAAAAAATATTCAATTCAAAAACAAGTATTTTAAATTGCAATAATATTTCACAATATTGCTGTTTTTACTGTATTTTTGATCACATAAATGTGCAAAATACAGCAGAAACTGTTAATGCTCTATTCTGCAGAGCATTAACAGTTTCTGCTGTATTTTGCGGTACACTTCGATGACCAAAAGGGGGCGTAATATGATCACAGTCCAGTGCACTACTGGCTTAACACTGGCCTTGTTCACAACTGGACGAAGGTGGAGTAACTCACACCAAACAAAGACAGAGAGAGAGAGAGACATCTCGCTGCTCTCGGAGCTCTCTGTCCTGTCTATTCACGGTTTGTCTTTGTCCTGCCACTGTCCCCCGGAGGGCCGGTCACTGAACCGCTTACAGAAACTCACCACCAATGCAGACTGACCTTCTTTCATAACAGCTGCATAATGAAGATGTATTCGTGAGAGCCACCAGATAATCTGGCGTGGCGGCTCAGTGTTTTTGTCTCAATGTCCACGGCCGAGTGGCTTTGACGTGGACACAAAACTGCTCGCCGACTGACAGGGGATTAGAGAAAGTTAGGGCCAAAATAGAGCTGTCAGAAACGTATGGATGTATTGCTGCTCAGCAGATTATGCGCTTTGAATGTAGCCGTGGGCCTCCGTGATGCGTTTTTGTTCTTTTTCAGAGTCCATTAAGGTGGTTCTTTAACCTGAAGGATGTCGGAATCGTGCAAGTGAAGATCCTGCGGGCCGAGGGGCTGATGGCTGCTGATGTCACAGGTACAATCATATGTCACTTCCTGTATTCATTTGTGCCCAGTGGAACGATAACCAGGATTCTTAGTTTCTGGATGGTCTATAAGACTTTTTCCAGGCATTTTTCGGAATGTTTTGGAGTGGTTATCACCTCAGTTTCTCTTCTAATGATGGAAAGATGACCTTCTGAAAAAGAGGAGTCTCCTAATTTCATTTTTTCTCACTCATAAGTTGATCTAGTTTTTGAGGTTTGCTGTTTTCTCAAAAGCGGCCCACCTCATGGGTTCTGATTTCATGCCTTCTTCTAATACCACACCATTGTGGACAGACAAAGGCTTTTAAAAACCACACACACACACATTTTTCTGTGCCTTTCTCTCAGCCTGTGGTTTAAAAAGACTTGATTTTTAGCTCCTCTATACTTTTTTCCCTCCAAAATTTGCCCACACTGATTCTGTGTACACATTTGTATTTATTTTAGCACAAAGCCTTCCAAAATTAGCCAACTATTTCATAAAACAACATGCATGTTATGATTATCCTTTAAAATAAAATACAATTATAATGAAAATTAAAGGCCAATATCAGTTTCTCTATGCTAATCTTTCACCTTGGCAACATTTCAGGGAAGTTGTGTGATCACCAGATAGGAATAAACATGCATGAATAACTCTGATAATTATTATTTATATTACTGTACTGGTGGGATTTCACACAGTCCTCCAGAAATCATTCTAATATGCTGGTTTGCTGCTCAAGGAACATTTATTATTATATTCAAAGTTGAAAACAGCTGTGCTGATTACTTTTGTAGAAACCATGTTACAAGTTCAAAAGAACAGCAATGGAAATCTGTTTTTACTGTCACTTTTGATCAATTTATGCATCCTTACTAACCCCAAATGTTTGACCGGTAGTGTAAGAGGACTTAAAATTACTGGAGAGAGAGGACTGTAAAACATCATAGACCACACTTAAATCTTGAACTATGGGACAAGAAATTGCATTGCAGCAATACCAATAACAAACTGTTTTAAAAATGTGTTGTTATTAAGTAAAAATGACTTACTAGAAACATTCCAGATTACATTTCATTCATATCATTTTCATAGCTCACTTAGGTATTTTAACCTAAAAGCTTTTGAACGCAACACTGTGTTTCAGGAAAGAGTGACCCGTTCTGCATTGCGGAGTTGTGTAATGACCGTCTGCAAACACACACGGTCTACAAGACACTGAACCCCGAGTGGAATAAAGTCTTCACCTTGTGAGTTCATTATGCACAACCACCGCTGCTCCCAGCAGAGGACGAATTCAAATATTCACAGCTGATCAAGTTGTTCTGTCACCTGGACTCAAGTGGATTGAACTATCAGCTGCAATTTGGCTTGATTGTGTAATATATTATAGAAAACATGAAATGAAAATGTCTCCCATTTACTTCATTGTAAAGGGAAAAAATATTTCATTATCTTTAATCAAACTCCAATTACTTTCATAACCACAAGTAACTAACAAAAACCAACAAAATGTACATTTTCTAAAGGACTACGGTGATGCGGAGAGACACAGAGGAGACGAATTGTTGAATAAAGTCGTTATTTTTTATTTCTTCGCATACAAAAAGTATTCTTGTTGCTTCATAAAATTCAGATTGAACCACTGATGGCAGATGGACTATTCTGACGCTGCTTTTCATACTTTTCTGGACATTGACAGTGTAATTTACTTGGCAGTCAATCGGACAGTCACAAGCCTCCCGGTTTTCATCCAAAATATCTTAAATTGTGTTCCGAAGACGAACGAAGCTTTTACGGGTTTGGAACGACATGGGGGTAAGTGATTAATGACATGGTTTATATGACTTGGTTTCTGTAATTTAATGAGACTATCACCAATTACCTCACGACATGATTCCAATATATTACATCACATTATCTCTTAAATGGTTTGCTTGACTTTTTTCCAATAGCGTAAATTAATCAGATTGTAGGGAATTATATAAAAGCACACATGAATAAAAATACTGATACAATGAACCTTAACTGAGAAATCAATGCATTGAGACAAAAAAAATTGGTGTATAGAGACAATTGATTATTCAATGCAAGTCTAAGGTGTTTTTATTTTTGGCCATTTTATTGTCTGTCATTTAAAAACTAGTTGAAAGTCGACCACTTAGAATAGTTATAGCGCACCTTTTACAAAAAAAAAAAAAGAAGCCACATGATTCAAGGTATCAGACCTGCTGCCTTTTATAATTCCCCACATAATTTCTCAGAAATATGTCACCTATATGAGTTCATATCTCACATTTTGGACTTTTTTGTCTCAGTTCTGAAAAAAACTTGCAGTTTTAAAAAGAAGCATCAGAATTGTCAGATAAAGAGTCGATTATCTTCTTCTTTTTTTTTCCATGGAGGAAACAAAAAAGAATTGCAAGATGTGAACTCCACATTCTGAGAAAAAAGTTAAATTGTAAGATGTAAACTTAGAATTCAAAGAAGAAAACGTAAAAATTGCGAAATGTAAACTCTGAATTCCAAGATAAAAAGTCAAAATTGCTTTATTTTTTTATTCCGTGGTGTGGAGGAGACAAACAAGAATTCCAAGATATAAACTCAGAATTCCAAGAAAGTCTAAAATTGCAAGATGTGAGATATAAACTAAGAATTAAACGGTTAAACAAGATAAAACGGTTAGAATTGCAAGACGCAAGCTCAGAATTCTGAGGAAAAAAGTCAGAATTGCAAAATGTAAATTCAGAATTCCAAGATAAAATGTCAGAATTGTGCGACGTAAACTTGCAACTGCTAGAAAAAAGTCAGAATTGAGACATAAAAAGTTGCAATTTTTCCTTGCAGGAATAATACTTCCAAACATTATGGAATTTCATTGTGTTGCAAATTCTGTTCATGTTGACTTCATACAGTATTTGTAAATGCAATATACTAAGCCATATTATAGTCAATATAAACAGAAATTATTCTGCATAATTTGTTGCATACTTTGATCTCAAAAAAACCTGCATGACATAAGATATGATTCATCATCCAATCAAATCATGAAGTCAAGTACCGCCCTACATAATTTCCCACAGAAATAGGGCCCATTATGGCATTCAGATGCGTTTCAAATTCTGTTTGATGTTGACTTCGTACAGTATTTGTAAATGCAAGGTTACAGTCAAAATTAATCGAAATGCTTCAGCATACTTTGCTTTGTGTTTGATGAAAAACTCTCTCTTGTTCACCCTGCAGTAACGTGAAAGACATTCACTCGGTGCTGGAGATCACCGTGTACGACGAGGACAGAGACCGCAGTGCTGACTTCCTGGGTAAAGTGGCCATCCCGTTATTAAACGTAAGCTCGTCCCATTCAGTTTCCCCAAATTCTTAGATCCACGTGTGTTTTTAAAGGCGCGTTTGAAACTAATCGACTCACCGAATGAGATTAATGGTGGCGCGTCTTTAAAAGCGCACACAGCTGGGCCTCCCGGTGCCTGGGTAATGTCTCGGTGACAGAGGGATGCTGGTAATGAGCAGGTACTTGTCAGAGTTGGAAGTGCTGGAAGGAGGGAGGGACGGGGAGGGAATGTGTGGCTGGCTGTTTGATGCTGCCGCTGGGAGATCAGGGGTCAGCCGAGGAGGGGGGTCCGCTGGGGCTTTGCCAGACAGCAGGCTGTCACGTCTTCTTCACACAGATCCGCAACAGCGAACAGAAGGCCTACGTCTTAAAAAACAAGGAGCTGACAGGTCCAACAAAGGGGGTCATCTTTCTCGAAGCAGACACCATCTTCAACGCCGTAAGTGTGCGCTGCGCCCGGAGCGCTGGATGTTGTGTCTTTTGTTTCCACACTGGAATATGCAATAATTATTGATGCATAGAGAACTCCAGCGCTAATTAAAACAAATCATAGTTCTTCGTTTCGCTTCAAGGTGAAAGCCAGTTTGCGGACGTTCGTTCCACCAGAACAGAAGTACATCGAAGAGGAGGCCAAAGTCTCTAAACAGGTAAAATAACAACAATGTAACTATTCTTTAAAAGGAATAGTTCACAAGTAATGACAAACCACATGCTGCTTTTTTGTTCTGTGAAACACACATTACATGAAAAATCATTACATAGATGTTTCCATAAAAATGACACTTCAAAGTGGCCAAAAACACCCCAAAAATAGTTCAAATGCCTCGTGTTGTGTCATATATTCAAAGACTTCTGAAGTGTCTGCATCTTTTTTACTCTGGATACAAAAGCATTAATCATTTTGATGTGTGTTTTTATGATGTTTTTTTATTTTATTATGACTATTTTTTAAATATATAGTTTATTTTAATATATATAGTTTATTTATTTATGGTTTCGTTTTTATTTCAGTTTTAGTTTGAATTATTTTAGTACATCAATTTAAACAATGATAATGAGAAATGTTTCCTTGTCAACTATCTGAAATGAAATGTTTAAGATTTTTAAGATTTTATTTCATTTTAGTTATTCATCCTCAGTTATCATTTATTTTTATTTTATATTTTCATTTTCATTTCAGTTATTTTTAATAATTTTTTTTGTCATTTTTATTATTTTTTTTAATTATTATTTTATTAATTTTCCTTTCAGTTGAAGTTTCAGTTATAAATGTTTTTTTTTTATTTCATTTTAATTATTCATTTTGTTATTATTAAAATTATCTAAAATGTTTCAAGTAATGAACATTTTGTAATGGTTTTAGTTTTAGTAGACTATAATAACTCTGCTTCAGAAGACTTTGAATACATATCGCAAAAGTCCTACGGACCAGTTGGCATGTTTTTTTGGAGACTCTCTACATGTTTGTTCCATACATAAAATAACAGCACGCGGGTGTGAAACCACATTAGGGGCAAGTAAATAATAACACAATATTAATTTTTAGGCGAACTGTTCCTTTAATCCAACGGCTGCAATCAAATCAAAACCACCCCAACGATGGCCGGCGGTCCCATGCCCCGCCACACAATAGGCCGACGTGTTTGGGACAGGGGGCGCAAGCGCTGAATCGCTGCGTTTTCCCCCTTGCCCTGCCGCTCTAGGTGTTGAATAGAAATGTCAAGCCAGCCCTCTTGAGAGGAGAGGGGCCACCCCAGAGGGCCCGGCTGCGGCTCTACGGCTGTGCCTGCTCATTGTCCTCTCTCTCAATGTGCCTGCGTGACAAAAGCGCTGAATTGGAGGGGCTGGGCTGAATCAGACGCTGTCACAAAGCTGCGCATTGAGCAGAACAGACCGATTCTTCAGTCCTTTATGCCCGTCTCAGTGAAGAGTTCAACCGCGGATTCGGCCCGTATATCTAACCCCAGCTGTCAGTCACACCGTCACTTATAGAGTTGATTACATTCACCTCGTTTTTTGATACTGTATGCCATGAGTTTTGTGCACATTTTGGGGTGGTTTGTGTTAATCATGCGTATCAGAACAAAGTTGTTTGGTTTTCTTTAGTTCGGCCTTTGATAGAAGAGAATAATATTCATGTTTTATAACAACTACAAAAAAAAAATCATAAAGTAACTAAATCTAATTTTTGAATGTTTATTGTGTAAAAGTTTTTCTTTTCTTTTGATGTACATCATTTAAAAGCTTGATGTCAGGAAGATTTTTTTTAATGAATACTTAAATTGATTAAAAGTGACAGTAAAGATTCAGTTTTACATTATAACATTAATAATGGTGAAAACTTATATGTTAAATTGATCAAAAGTGACAGAGACATTTATTGTTATAAAAGATTTCTATTTCAAATAAATGCTGTTCTTTTGAACTTTCTATTCATCAAAGAATCCTGAATGTAACATGGAATGTAGCAATGTAGAAAAATGTAGCATGTTTTCCACAAAAAAAATATTAAGCAGTAAAACTGTTAATAATTATTATTGTTTATTGAGCAGCAAATCAGCATATTAGAATTATTTCTGAAGGACCACGTGACAGTGAAGACTGGAGTAATGATGCTGAAAATATTTTATAATTAAAATTTAAATACTCAAATATATTCAAATATAAAACAGTTATTTGAATTTGTAATAACATTTCACTATATATAAATAGTCAAATAAATAAATGCAACCTTTGTGAATATATATAAAAAACGATATATTTACTATAACTATATAATAATATATAACTATATATACTATATAACATTCAAAAACATAGAAAATCGTACTGACCCCAAACTTTTGAACGGTAGTGCATTGTTTTGGTTAAAATATATAGCATATAATTGTGAGAATATATAGTAATACTTCATATAATTATTATAAAATTATAAAAAAAAGTTTTAAAATTGATATTGAATTTACTTATAAAATATATTTGATGATTATTATATAATGTATTGTGTAAAAAATTGGGTGTTTTTTTTTTTTTTTACATATGAATATTCTTTTGGTTTGAATGTATGTCATAAAAATATATGTATATTATATAAACATAAAACATATCAGTATATTTCAGTATAATATTGGAAATAATATTTCCAGTTTCTTGGTATTCAGGAGTATTCTCTAATAATGATCATTCTTTTTGAGGAGGCTATATTGTGGTTTATGGCTAACAGCTCTTGTTTGGAATTTCTATCTCATATTCTCACGTCAGATGCTGCAGCAGAATTTTAACCGAGTGAAGCGCTGCGTTCTCTTCCTCATTAACGTGGGCTCCTACATCAACAGCTGTTTTCAATGGGAGTCCCCCCGCAGGAGTTTATGTGCTTTCTTGGTAGGTGGCAAAACTCTCTCATATATACACACAGAAACAAACACCGTAATGATATGATACACACAACTCAAAGAAACTCAAACTCACTTATTAAAGATAGATAGGTCTAGATAATAGATGTACACACTGTATATATTATAGATTGAGTGTTTGGTGACACTTGTGTGTTGAAGGGCTTTGATGTGTGAAGTGCGCTCGTAGTTTAGCGCTGAAGCACCCTTGAGCTAAAACGAGTAGATGTGATCTCTTAGACGCCGTCCCTCTGTGACCTGGAGCCCGACCTCACCCCGCGGCCCCTGCCTGCCCCGCTCTGAACACCTCAAGAGCCCTTTACACTGTTCCCTCTCGCTTTCACACACTCCAGCCACACACTTCCCTCCTGTACCTGAAGGAGGTGCTGTAGACTCTGAGTCTCCATCACAATAGATTCACTCAGCTATTTTCATCCGTACCTGTTCATGACTATTAACTGACCGAGATTTGACCTCCCTCTTTAAACAGTGAAGTTCCGCTCTGGTTTACGGCTATGACTTGAAACTTAAAGTAAAAGTAATTTACAATACAGTAACAAAACTATAAATCCGTTCCAGCTCAAATATCTGATAGGATGAACCACATTCAAAGCCTTTGTGAACATCATATACACACACACACACACACACATATAAAATGTGTATATATACTAATATACACTAATGTATATATACACTAACATTCGAAAGTTTAATGCTTTTGAAAAAGTCTCTTATGCTCACTTGGGCTATATTTATTTGATTTAAAAAATATATATAAAAAGCGCAATTTTGTGAAACAATTTAAAATAGCTGTTTTTTGTTTTATAAACAATGTATATTAATATATTTTCAAATGTCATTTATTTCCAAGGTGGCAAAAATTTATTTACTCCTTTGATGAATAGAAGTCCAGTTTTTCTTTTTTTGAAATCTAAATCTTTTGTAACATTAAAGGTCTTTACTGTCCCTTTTGATCAATTTAATGCATCCTTACTGAATAAAAGTATTCATTAAAAAAAATTCCACAGAGCCAAACTTTGGCGTGATGATGTGTAGATACACAGTCACATATTTGCAAATCATAAAACTACACAGTAATTATAATTAACTCTATTACTATAGAACTATTTTAGAATATTTTATTGTGATTAGTAATATTAAATATTGATTGAATATTCAATATTAACTCTATTTATTTATAAACATTAGCAGATATCTTTATTGTAGTAACTTATTGTTATGAAGGGATTTTTATCATGAAATTGGAATTGCAAGACATCGATTAGTTGATAAAATTATCTAAAAAATATCATATTTTTGTTGCGATTGGTCAGATCTTTGTGGTGGTGGTTTGGAATTTCGAGATCTACATGGTTCCATTGTCCCTGCTGCTGCTGCTGGCCTGGAATTACTTCCTGCTGGGGAAGGAGTCGCGCGAGGGGAGCGTGGTGAGTGTGGTTATGGATGTTGACTCTCCAGTCTAATGAGGGCTAAATTTGTGACATTTATCTCCAGCTCATTTTAAGCACACGATTGTTGTAGGCCGTCACAGGAAACTGCAATGTCTCATCCTACCCAAAAACTATCTTTGATTATTTGAACTAACCGTCAACAATTCCTGGTTAATAAACAGTTAGGTTATATTGTGCATGTTTATTTTTTAAAGGTGTGTGCACAGCTGGAATTGAATGTTTTTATTCCAATTACCTCAGGTAATTAAAAGAAGCGCAGATATATGAGCTCTTAAACATGCCATTCCACTTACCTGGTGTATTTACTTATCGCATTTTCCAATTAAATTGTGTCAAACTAATTTCATGCCATCGTGAAATGTTGCCAATCACACTAAGTGTGTATGCAAATCTCCCTGAAAATTGATTCCATTTTAATTGTTCAAATGGCGTGGAATGAGTGCTGATGACTTTCAATGCGCAGCGTTTCTGGAGAGGGTGTTCGCTTCCCAATTAAGCCATCAAAATTTGAATTACATTTTTATTCAGGAGTATCCAGTCAAAGAGTCAGTAGCGATGTGCATCAGATAAATCTCAAAACAATAAAATAATAATTTTCCACTACTTTGCAAATTAAAATATGGAATTATCATATTGACCAGCATGAAATTCTACATTTTTTGTATTACTTTTTTTCTAAGCTGGATTTCAGTTGACGGACACATGACAGATACGGAGAGAGAAGGAGATTGACACAAATATACAGTCTGTCACCAATGTGAGCCATATGCATATGTTTTCATATGTGGCCTAATGGCTAATAAATGGCAGAAGAGTTGCCATTAGATTGTTATCAGCCTGTATGTGATGTAATAATGTGAGTGTTTAATAAATGACATTCTCAGAGGTTGATCTTTCATCGCTTGAGAGACTTAATGGAATTCTCGGTTGTTTTATTTAGATATCAACTTCATTCTCCGATGTCTCTTTTAAAACTGATGAGAAAAATACAAATGAGATGGTTGTTCACATAGAGTATGAGTTTGAAACAGGGTTATCATAGTTATAAAATTGTGATTTACAGGCCTGGAAAAGTTAGAAAAATTAGCAAAATATTAAAAAGTCATGGAAAATGTTTAACTGATAAAATTCAGATGAAAATATTTTAAATGTAATTATTATTCTATTTTTTATTATCAAGTAATCAATTTTTTTTTTAATATCATCAAGTAATCAGGAGTGACTTGGAAATGTTATGAAAATGCATTTGTCAAAAGATTCCTACTACAAAATTAATGCGGATAGCATAGCTCAGATAATTTAGTTTTGTAAGAATTTAATGAGAAATGTTTAAATGTGAGATTTCTAGGGTATAGCAGCAGGAGAGCAAAGTTTCTATTTGCTCTCCATTTGATCTCATTACTACTTTCGTTCTAGGATAATCCATTGAGATATTAAAAAGATCACATTTGTGAATTTTCTTATTGTTGCTTCATAGCAAGCGATGGAGGACCTTCTTGAGGATGCGGATGAAGAATATGACAAAGATGACAAGGTAACCATACACTTCTATGTAGAAAGGTAGCCTCATTATTTCCTTATCAACTTATTAAAACTCTTCTTTCCACTTGGTGACATGGATGGCTGAAGGAAATCTACCATTTCTATCGTTTGTGGTCTTGTGTGTTAGCTGGAGCTTTCAGGGACAGCTGAAAGGTTGGCGTACGGACACACAGTTTAATATATGTGTCAGTGCTGTAGTTTAATTGCACCTGAGGCTTGCGTTGCCAAATATATTCAACATATCCCAGATGTTTAACTCCAGCCGTTCTTCGCGTTCCCATAACCCTTTGTGCGCCACAAGGCAGCCATTAGCGGCCTGACCTTTGACCCTGGGAGCTAACTTGGGTATTTTGGCACAAATGACCCAGACACCTGTTTTCCATTCATAAGGACCCCTCATAGGCCCGGGCTAAGCCTGGACATATGTTTGCACTTAGCTTACTGCCGGCCGGTCATGAAAATACGCCGAGGGTTGGTGTCTCTCTCCAAGCTTTCAGAAATTGTTCCAGCTAATTTATGGGGACAATTGATTTGTTGAACCCCAACTCTGTAAGTTGTTGGGGAAAGAATAACACAACTTGCAGGCCGTCCCACTGATTTTCCATCCGACCCGACGCAGGTGAAGCCTGGGGTGCAGAATAAAGGCTGTCAGGCACGATCAAACAAGGGAAAAACACAAGCTGGCATGGTTTGAATCGCCAGTATTTTATTGAAAAATGACAAATAGATCAAACATAACCTACTCCATAAAAAAAGTGTAATTTAAATTTGTATTTCTTGTTGACACAGGAAGTTGTGATGGGACATATTGAAGGGCTGTTCCTTCTTTAATAGTCAAAAGACTTTAGTTTGATAAGGTTTTTTAATGTTTTTAAATTAAGTCTTATTTGCTCACCAAGGCTGTTTTATTTGATCAAAATGCAGTAAAAAACAGTAATACTGTGAAATATTATTGCAGTTTAATATATCTGTTTTCTTTTTTTAATATATTTTGAAATGTAACTTATTCCTGTGATGCAAAGCTGAATTTACGACAGTCCTCAGTGTCACATGATCCTTCAGAAATCATTCTAATATTCTGATTGGATGCTCAAGACACATTTCTTATTATTATCAATGTTGAAAACAGTTGTGCTACTTCATATTTTTGTGGAAACTGATAGTTTTTTTTATAGAAATTGAAATGAAATATAAATCTATTGTAACATGACAAATGTCTTTACCATCAGTTTCGATAAATTCAGTGCATCCTTTTTTTACCAAGCTTTTGAATGATAGTGTAATTATTTATTGAATATTGAGTATATATTATATGAAATCCCTTAACTGCCTCTCATGGTTTTACAATTAACTATTTTTCTTCATTAGCAGATATATTTATCATAGTAACTTATAGTAAGTTGTTTATTGTTATAAAAGGACTGGGAAATTTTATTATATGGACATTCTAGAAAGTAGAATCACCCTGACTACTTTGCTACTTGCTTTTGAAAATCTATTTACATACACACCATGTGAAGATTTTAGTATTTATGCTCCATTATCCAGTAAGAAAACTGTACATTTTAACTCTAAAAAGCGCTAAGAACATTTAAAAAAAACGAGCACCAGAATATGGAAAGCTCTCAATTTAAATTTGACTTACCAATACATTGAATGCAACTTTTGACATTTGACTGAGGTGAATTTAAATCTAATGTTTAACATTATTCCGTTCAGAGGCCCTCTTTTCCATATTAATGAAGCTGCGGTTGGGATTGGAGACTTGCTGCTTTTGTGTTAAGCTACACCAACTAACCTTTTAGTCTAAGAGACACCAGACAGCAAACTAAAGTTTCCCCACCCCCACGTCTTTCATTTCTTATAACGCAACTAAACAACTTGTGTTCCCTTACTAGATGATTTTCTACAGACCAAAGCATAGCTGTTCAAAATCTGTGTACGTATGACAAAATTAATTCTGTTGTGTAACTTGCCATGCGTGCTTGTGTGTTCAACAACAGGACTCAGAGAAAAAGGGCTTCTTGGACAAACTCTATGTGGTTCAAGATGTGATCATAACGGTTCAAAACGCTCTGGATGAAGTGGCCTGCTTTGGGGAACGAGTGAAGAAGTGAGAAACTTGGATGTTACTCATACCTTCGAAGCTTCCTTTTTTAGTAGCATTGATTTTGTGTCATGAATGCATGGTTATATATTCATTCTCATGCTGTTCCTCTTTCAGCACGTTTAACTGGTCTGTGCCTTTTCTGAGCTGGTTAGCCATAACGGTGCTATGTGCCGGTGCCACGCTAATATACTTTATCCCACTACGATTCATTGTGCTGGTCTGGGGTGAGAAATCCTATTGCTTTTGTTAAACACTTTCCCAATGGTTTACTATTCAGATTATTTCTTAGTTTGTTGAAATGCATAATCTGATTTTGTACACAAGATGTGTTCTTGCATTGTAATGATTTAGGGTATATTATTTTGGAAATTAGAAGGATATGAACATGCATGTCCCACACAGGTATCAATAAATTCATCAAAAAACTTCGGGACCCCTACATCATTGAGACCAATGAGCTGCTGGACTTCCTGTCTAGAGTTCCATCAGATGTTCAGTTGGTAAGTGATCAATGATAACAAGTGACGTATTTTCATTCTTTTGCATGATTCACAACACGGTTGTGCAAAATCTACTCATCAGGTTCAATACAAAGATCTCAAACCAGAGACTTCTCAGAGTCCCAGCAAGAAAAGGAGGAACAACCCCGGATAGATCTTGAACTGTGACATTACGTTTCTAAATCAACAGCCTCCAAAGCACCGTTCACGTACAAAACACTGTGAATGTTGCAAAGACTTTCAAAAGGAGATTGTTTTAAAAAGAAAGAAATATTTCTAGCATTATTTATGCAAACTTGCACAACTATAATAGCACAAAACTCAACTGTTCATAAAATGTGCTTTTGACTATTTATAGCTATTCCCATTTTTATTCTGTCACTGATTCACAATCAGTGTCTTGAACATTTTTATTGAAAGAGATTTATGTGAAGAAAAATGCTGCAAACCAGATTCAAACTTGTGTCGCCCACGTGAGCACCATAGCTCAAAAAACATGTGCCTAACACTTGGTCACAGCTCCAACAGTCAGTTGAGACTATATAACGTAGATTCTGGTGCAAAAATATCAGCCTGAAAATGTCTTTCGTCTGCATAATTGAATGTATTAAATGCAACTGGTCTGACCACAGCGGTTTTTTTCTTGAAAACACGCCAAAACTTTACAGTGAACTTTGCACCTTTGAGGTCACTCTTCAAAGCATTTTCCTTAGATAATTATTTTTATCCACAAGCACATATCATATGGAGAAGCTGCATGCTGTGCATCTAAAGTGAAAGAATGTATGTGTGCATGTAAAAAAAGGTGACTGTAAATATACAATGTGAAAACATTTTTTATGTTGTTCTGGACATGTTTACCCATGACAGATGTCATATGCTATGATCACTGTTCATATGCTATGATGAATGATGAAATGGTGTTTAATTGTAATATTTGTACATTGTGTTGCTTGTTAATGATTCGTCAATGGTCTATGAGTATGTAACTGTTAAGCTGATATACTCAAGGACATAAATTGTTATTAGTTGGAGAAAAAGAAAAGGCATGTTTATGCAGGGCTGAAACCAACCAATGAAAACCTCTCTCTGTGATTTTTTTGGTCATTTATTTTCCACAACTATGAAATAAGACTTTTTTTCTGAATGTTGCTGGTTTTATTTGTATTTATTGGTCTTCAAAAGATGAAACGTGAAATCACATTTGCAATCCATTTTACTTCTGCACTGTACTTGTAATTTACTAAATAAAATGTAGGGCAGGACTTGATTTTATCCATCAGGAATTGATTGGATTTATTTATGACTATTTTTTATTTGGGACAATGTGCAATGAATCATTCACAATAAGACAAGAGAAAAAAAAGGGTCAGTTTTGATTTCAGGATGACTTTAACCACACCCCACAGAAAGAAAGAAATTCATTAATTAAAAACAAATTAATGCATGCAATTAAACATGGTGCCATGGGGCTTTAAGTGCATATGGCATTGCATAATCCAGTATTTCCTCCTTGTGTAAAATGTAGATTGTTAATCATTTGTCCAAGAGCATCCAATTAACTAATCCAGATTAGAGATACAGTATGTGTGAAGTGATGCATTTCTCGGGATGGGGGAGGGACAGTAACAGATAATGACTGAGTCATCAGGTGGAGTTTTGTGTCTACATTAACACGTTCATATGGGCAACTGGAAGGTCCATCTCCCAGTTACAAATGAAAGGTTTATAATTAGTTTCTTTAATCTCTGCCTTATTAAATCAATGCTTCTTTGGGAATCAGGACAGACTAATTGAGCTATGAAGGGCATCTTTTTAAAGTAGCAAAAGAGCAGTCTCTCCCATGGCCTGGGCTTTTAAAAGAGATTAATGAGAATTTAAAACGGTCTTGGGTTTCCCTTCTCACTTCAAGAAAGAATTACACTACCGATGTAATTCTCCACAGTGCTCCCATTGATGGTTTAAGATCCAGAACAAGATGCTTGAGTAAACATATATACTATAGCTGTACAACGAGTACACTAAACAAAAGAACAAATGCCTGTTTTAATCTAGTCAGAGCTATGGTTGCCCTAAAATTGGAGAAGTTGAAATTGCTCAATTTCGAGTATAACAACAGATCAACATTTAAAGACTTGACTGATATGAAAGTTTTTGCATTTTCAGGGATCTGTGGTGAATGTTCAAGTCACATTTCCTCCCAAAACTGAAGAAAAATAATAGATGTATTTTGCATCAAGAAAATGAAGAATTTTTCATTATTGCAATAGAGTATTTATTGCATTACTTTACTAAAAAAAAAAACTTGCCCCTTTTAGACTTGCACTCTATTCATTTACTAACTGCTTGTTTTCTTTAAAAAAAATTAACTCATTAGTTTCTCTATTCTTTTTCTATTCTATTTGTTTTGTTTTATTTATTATACAATTAACAAAAAGCAAAAAGGCCTCTAACACTAGCTTGCTCTATTATTTTTCCATTCTATCTGTTTTCTTGTTATTTATTATATAATTAAAAAAAAAAACTTCCTATGTGTACTGCGTTAGGCTAACTTTGATTTGTCATAGCACTTGCATATTGCTCTTTTGTTGATTTTGATTGCTTCCATTGTCCTCAATTTTAAGTCGCTTTAGATAAAAGTGTCTGCTAAATGACTAAATGTAAATTATTTGTATTTATTTTTAAATTGTAATCATTGTAAATACTTTATAGCTTAAATTATATATAATTTAAATAAAATTATATAAAATATAATTTCAAAGTATATAATATTTTTTAATTATGTAAAATTATTCATACAGATACATAGATACATAGATACAGATACAGATACATAGATACAGATACAGATACACACACAGACACAGATACACAGATACAGATACATAGATACAGATACAGATACATAGATACATAGATACAGATACAGATACAGATACAGATACATAGATACAGATACAGATACATAGATACAGATACACAGATACACAGATACACAGAGATACAGATTCACAGAGACAGAGACACAGAGACAGAGACACAGAGACACAGATACACAGAGACACAGATACACAGAGACACAGATACAGAGACACACAGATACAGAGACACACAGATACACAGATACAGAGACACACAGATACACAGATACAGATACACAGATACAGATACACAGATACAGATACACAGATACATAGATACAGATACAGATACAGATACATAGATACAGATACAGATACACAGATACACAGATACACAGATACAGATACACAGATACAGATACACAGATACACAGATACAGATACACAGATACAGATACAGAGACACAGATACAGAGACACAGATACAGAGACACAGATACAGAGACACAGATACAGAGACACAGATACAGAGACACAGATACAGAGACACAGATACAGAGACACAGATACAGAGACACAGATACAGAGACACAGATACAGAGACACAGATACAGAGACACAGATACACAGATACAGAGACACAGATACACAGAGACACAGATACACAGAGACACAGATACACAGAGACACAGAGACACAGAGACACAGAGACACAGATACAGATACAGATACACAGATACACATACACAGATACACAGATACAGAGACAAAGAAAAAAATACAG